GGTCCCATACCTACTTTTCTCCAAAACATGACTTCATTGACATTTCTTGATATGAGTGGAGTAAATCTAAGCCTTACATCATCAAACTTGTTTCAAGTACTTGGTATGCTTCCTTCACTATCATGGTTAAGTCTGTCAAGCTGTAGTCTCAAAAATTGTCACTTGCCATCTCCCAACCATCCTTTTAATTTTACGTTGCTTGGCAATATTCAACACTTAGATCTTTCAAATAACTTTTTCCAAGGTCCAATACCTGTATTTCTCCAAAACATGAGTTCCTTGATATTTCTTTATCTTTCTAACAATCAATTGAATGGGAGCATTCCAAATAGCATGGGGCAAATGTCTAAGTTAGAAAGTATATATCTTTTTGAGAATCAATTGAGTGGGAGTATTCCAGATAGTATCGGGCAACTCTCTAAGTTAGAGAGCATAGATCTTTCTATCAATCAATTGAGTGGGAGTATTCCAAATAGCATCTGGCAACTCTCTAAGTTAGAGAGCATAAATCTTTTTGATAATCAATTGAGTGGGAGTATTCCAGATAGCATCAAGCAACTCTCTAAGTTAGAAAGCATAGATCTTTCTATCAATCAATTGAGTGGGAGTATTCCAGATAACATCAGGCAACTCTCTAAGTTAGAGAGCATAGATCTTTCTGAGAATCAATTGAGTGGGAGTATTCCAGATAGCATCGGGCTACTTTCTAAGTTAAAGAGCATAGATCTTTCTGAGAATCAATTGAGTGGAAGTATTCCAGATAGCATCGGGCTACTTTCTAAGTTAGAGGGCATATATCTTTATCACAATCAATTGAGTGGGAGTATTACAGATAGCATCGGGCTACTTTCTAAGTTAGAGAGTATAGATCTTTCTAGCAATCAATTGAATGGGAGTATTCTAGATAGCATCAATCAACTTTCTAAGTTAGAGAATATAGATCTATCTAGTAATCAATTGAGTGGGAGTATTCCAGGTAGCATTGGGCAATTTTCTAAGTTAAAGAGCTTATATCTTTCTCACAATCAATTGAGTGGAAATATTCCAAATAGCATCGGGCAGCTTTCTAAGTTAGAGAGCCTATATCTTTCTCACAATCAATTGAATGGGAGTATTCCAAATAGCATCAGGCAGCTTTCTAAGTTAGAGAGCATATATCTTTCTCACAATCAATTGAGTGGGAATATTCCAAATAGTATCGGGCAGCTTTCTAAGTTAGAGAGAATATATCTTTCTCACAATCAATTGAGTGGGAGTATTCCAAATAGCATTGGGCAGCTTTCTAAGTTAAAGAGCATATATCTTTCTCACAATCAATTGAATGGGAGTATTCCAAATAGCATATGGCAACTCTCTAAGTTAGAGAGTATAGATCTTTCTAGCAATCAATTTGGAATAAGATTTCCTACATGGCATCAATTAAAAGAGACAATAAGCTTAGTTGATCTCTCTAATGCTAGCATCTCAGGTCCTCTTCCAGAAAATATAAGTCATATGATGCCAATGTTGTGGGGATTATATCTTGCAAATAACTTCATGAATGGTTCAATTCCGAAGTCACTATGCAATGTACAAACATTGACAGCACTTGATCTCTCAAACAATATGTTATCTGGAAACATTCCAAAGTCACTATGCAATTCAAAATATTTGATATTTCTTGATCTCTCAAACAATATGTTATCTGGAAATATTCCTAATTGTTGGAGAAACGATCAATCATTCAAGTTGATTGATCTATCTTCCAACAATCTTTCAGGTTTATTTCCAAGCACAATGGTGTGGCTTTCTTCTTTAAGTGAATTGCACTTGAACAACAATAGTCTCCATAAGGAACTACATGTAACCTTGAAAAACTTTACTTCTTTAGTGGTTTTGGATTTGGGTGAAAATAAATTTTCTGGAAATTTAACAAGTATTATAGGAGGCGAGATCAACAACCACTCTTTAAAGGTTCTCCGACTGCGAAAAAATTTAATTTCTGGTTATATTCCTTTGGAACTATGCTTTCTCTCTCAATTGCAAATTTTAGATCTTGCTGAGAATAATCTGATAGGAAGGATTCCTCCTTGTTTTGGAAAGTTTCCGATTATGGTGAATGCAACACAATTGAGCCATGACATGGGTAATGAATATTGGGATCAAGACCCTTCAGTGAATATTTTGCTTGTTAGATATTTTGAGCATTGGGATTTGGAACCTTTGATGGAGGTTGTAAAAGGGAGATACCTTGAGTATATGAGAATAACTCTAAGACTTGAGATTAGTATAGATCTTTCGAGTAACAATCTAATAGGATCCATACCAAAAGAGCTAATTTTCCTTAAAGATTTGCACAATTTGAATCTATCTTGGAATTATCTCTCAGGAAATATCCCTGAAAAAATTGGACAAATGGAGAATTTAGAATCTCTTGATTTCTCCAAGAATGACCTCTCAGGAATGATCCCAAACAGTATGTCAAGTTTAACCAAGTTAAGCTACCTTAACTTGTCTTACAACAACTTGTCAGGGCCAATTCCAACAGGCTATCAACTCCAAACACTCGAAGATCCAACCATGTATGTTGGAAATCCTCAACTTTGTGGAGTTCCACTCTTGAAGAAATGCTCAAATGATACATTGCCCCCAACAATCGCCAACTTCAAGGGCAATAGTGAAGGTGCACTTAAGAGAATGTGGTTTTACATTGTCGTGATGTTAGGTTTTGCAACTGGATTCTGGGGAGTCGTGGGAACTTTGTTTTTCATGAAAAATTGGAGATATGCTTATTTCCAATGGATGGATGATGTCCAACACTGGATATTTGTGGTTATAACATTGAAGGTGGCACAATTCAAGAAGATGTTCAATAGTGACCAAGATGATCAATAAGTTATATATGGAGTATGTTGTTGTTGCTACATTAATTATTAAGTTAGTTGGACAACACCATATTACAGGTAATAGTGTCGAGTCCAACTTTGAATGGCCCAACATTGAATCGGCCAATTTTAAATGAACACATTAGTATTAGAGTTTGTAAAATTTTCAATAATATAACATAGGTTGTAGTTCTATAGGTTTCCCAAAAATAAAAATTCATAAATTCTGATAGATAATAGAGAATTCTACGCAAGGTTTTCAAATTGCATGGGTTTTTATCTTTCTAGTTTTGTTAAAGAAAAGAAAGTAGTAAAAAAAAAAAGAAAAAGAAAAAGGAAAGCAAGAAATGAAAGAATAAGATAGGAAGAATAGCTTAGCTGAGTAGATAATAATAACCAAAATAAAATCCTTACATATTCATAGTCAAAGTTTAGAACTTTCAATCACACACAATCAAATTGTTTAATTGAGTATCCAATACAACGCAACTCTTACATAAAATTCCCATGTCATCAATATTTTATAAAACAGATTTTCACATTACATAAGGTATATGAACTATAGACTCATAAAATACTGTCGAGGCTAAATAATGAACAAAAAACGAAACACAATTAATCATTTATTGTTTTTAAATTTATACCAATAGTCTCCATATATAAGAGGCCTAAAAGCTGAAACACACAATACAAAAGAACATAGATAAACTTCAAAAATAAAAAAAATCCAAAAAAATGATAAGGATTAATGCCTCCAACTGTAGCCTCAATATTTTGGGTTGCCTTTCTCCCAACAAATCATCTTCCAATAAAACCACTAAAATAAAGTATATCTAAATGAGAAAAATATATAAATAATTCTAATCTTTTTCATTTGAAAGATAATATTAGCATATTTTTGTAATACAAAAATAAAATAAAAGGATGGTGCTTTTGTGGCCAAAGCTTGAGTCTCTTTCATCTTACACACTCATGAATGTGCAGATGCCACCACAATAGTTATAAAATGACTAACATGTTTTAACTTGTAAAATGAATTATATTAAAAAAATTATACAACTAAAGCTAAAAAAAACTTATGAGATCAAATTATAAGTCTCTATTATGTATATGATACGTAATATATGTGCAATCAAATCATATAGCAAATCCAATATAATATTCTTTAAGTAAACAACTCTCCCTTCGTATATTTATTTTTATTTTCATTTGTACTACTTATAAAAAAAGTTTGAAATTTAAGTTTAAAAGTTTTAAATTCAAAATTTTGAAACAGAATAAGACGGTGAAAAAAAATTTTAAAAATAAAAAATATTTATCTCCTTTTCCTTTTGTATTGAAGGGGAAGACGAAGAAAGAAGATAATTGATGGGCCAAAAAGATAAATACAATTCCCGTCCTCACAAGAATGGATCGACATGAAAAAGAGAAACTGTGCTTGACCTAATCCGATGCTAAACGGCGACATTGTGCCCTCGAGCACCAGTCGGCGCTTCGGGAGCACAGATCTGACGCCCACGGCACCATACGAGGGCAAAAAAACCGTCGAGAATGCTGTATCCAAATATTCTAGGCCAGCGGGGACGGAATCGTCACTCTGAGAGACCCGCCATGTGACCAACGCGTCGCCCGGTGCCGCTCAGCCCTTCCACCAGACGGCGATCGGACGCCCACGGCACTGAACGAGGGCTAAAAAGAATCAAGAATGCTGTATCCAAATTTCTTGGCCAACGAGGTCGGATCGGCACTCTAACAGACTCACCATGCGACCAAGCCATCGTCTATGCCGCCCAGCCCTTCCTCCAGACGATGAAGGCATGAACCGCAACAAGAAAAGAAAGGAAGCGGAGATAAAGGTAGTGGAAATCGATCGAGGAGGAGACGAGAGGAAATGCATTTTGCGATATAAAGGCTAAATTACATTTACACCCTTCCTAAACTTTAAACTTTCGGATTTGAACCTGGCCCATAGGGTGCGTAGAAAATGAAAGGAGCACTCACCCGGCCGAGGTTCAAGGGACCGATGACAACAAGCTTTGGTCTGGCCCAATTCAATAACATTTTGATTTGGACTTGGGAATTGGGCCTACTGGTCCTCAATTAAAATTTGGCAGTTGAGCAAGTTGGGGGCGGGCGCATGCCGTTCAGATTGGATACCTTCCCCGCAAATCCCAATCTCCATGTATTAGATCTGAATCACCGTTATGATGCTGACTTTTAGTTTTTGGGGTGAGAGAAATATGGAATCTTTCCATTAATGGAAAGAAACAGGCAGTGGTTCAATTATCAATGCAGCCACTATTTCTATTTTTGGTGCTTCTTTGCTTCTGTCGCTTTCTGCACACCGACACATCTTAATGGTCATTTTTTTTTTATATATATTTTTTCATATTCGCATTTTAATTATTTTCTTTCGCTTCATTTTTAATTTTTAATTACAACTGTTTGGTTAATGGTTAATTTAAATGATGTAGCTCTTTGATTTAAAATTTGTTGAGACAGATATGAGCTGCTACCAAAATGAATACTGTAATTCATAAGGTTCTATTTTATTTATGACATCTATGTAACTAAGTTTTTATTTTTATTTTTTTGTTAATAACATAAATAATGCAGTAATAATCACATTTTTTTAAGAGTAAAAAATTTTAAATTTGAATTATATAATATATGAATAAGATAAGATGGGGCAAAATGGGATAAGATATAAAAGAAAGTTACTTTTTATTGTACAATTAAAATAATAAAAAAAATATTTTTATTTTATTTTACTTTTTTTGATAAGTGCTATAAGCAATTATATGCATCTATATATAACATAAAGTTGGAAGCTCTAAAAATAAAATGCGTTATCGGAAATAATTAAATTGGTTGGTACTACTATAAACATATTAATTATAATGACCAACCAAATTCATTATATATATACATATATGTTTTTTTTTTCTTCCTTGGAGATAAATTTTGATACGAGGGGTTCAAGCAAAAAGTGCCGAAAGCAGTGGCAAAGGAGGAAGGAAAAAAAGGAAGGTTTATTTCAGGAAAATATCTTTGGGAAATGTGGAAGTTTGAATCTTGACACATTGCCAATTTATAAAAAGATACATTCGTCTTTATTGATCAATTGGGTGTATAAAATTCGATGTTGCGCAATTCACAGTGATGAAGGAGACCCTCAGCTCAACATGTTAAGTGTGATGCAAAGCATATATATTTATTTAAAAATGTTATGCTTATAATATTATATTATAATATAAATTTATAATTATAATATATTATTATATAATTAATTTTTTTTATTTAAAAAGTTTATACTGTTATTTGTATTTATTCATTTAATATTGTATTATTATTATAAATTTATAATCTTACTTGGCACTTTAAATTTGTCATTTTTTATATTTATATGCCCTAAGGTTATTAAAGCATATAAAATCTCTGCATGTATGTCCAGCAATCCGTATCCCAGTCGTCGAACGCCTCACGCCTTTGTGTGGCTGCTTGGACACCCAAGTATTGGGTTCTACACCCTGGCCCTACATTTTCCTTTCCCAAAGATTTATCTTGATGAAATAAAATAAAATAAGTATAAACGTATGAAGTAAAAATTTTTGAATTTGAATTATATAATATATTGGTAAGATGAGTTAAGAAATGAGAGAAATTTGATTTTTATTGTATAATTTAAAATAAAAAAATGATTATAATGGCCATGATTATGGTCACTTATCAAAATATCAAGGTTACACAAATTTTTAAGTATTGTATTTTAAAATATAACTCTATTTATTTAATTTAGCTATTAAAAGTAATTGAGTATAATTATTAGTTGATAAATTAAAAAAATATAATATTTATAATTTAACAAATTAAAATCAGTTTATACATCAATATAATCAAATGAAAAATAACTAATAAGCTCTTCAGTTCAATATATTCATCAATATTCACTAATTTAATTATTAAATTTTACAATTTTAAGGTCTCTTACCTTTAATTTAAATTTGAAAATAATAATTTTCTAATAAATATATTATAAAATATATTAAATTAAAAAATATACTAACTATTATCTTTCTAAAATACCATAATTGATTATTTACCAAAAAAATATTAGTATCTGTATGATCATAACAATTTGTTAATACACATCCAAGTACCAGCAGTGCCAAAACACTTTCAAGTTTGAATAATTAATGTATATATCTTACGGATATAATGAAGTGTTGATATTTTCCAAAATGGCTGGTAACAAAATGAGTAAAAGAGGAAGGAGAAAAACTGCCGTAGTACCCTTTAGAAACGAAAGGCACTCAAAGACAAATTAAGGCTCTTTGCTTGGACAAAAAATTTGACAAAGACTCTTCCAATGATTTAGCAATTAATCAATGTATCCAAATTATTGAGTTCACTTTGGAAACGAAAATTGTCTCTTATTTGATTAGGATGGGAGCAGAAAATTAAGTACACACACCCACCTTGACTACATACAAATTAAAATAAATTCTATAGGACTAGTTGTTTTTTTTCTTTAAACTTTAATTAAGATCATCACTAAGGTATCAACAATTTAAACAATTAAATAATTATTTTTTTATTAAAAATGAAAAATTTTAAATTTAAATCATATAACATGTGAGTGAATGATTACTTCAATTATACAACGAAGATAAAAAAAAATATTATCACTAAAGCCAAAAAAAAAAATTGACCACCACTTTATAAATGGCTGCCACAAGGCGTAGTTAACAAACCTGGCCTGAATGTTATTTTCTTTCTTTGTCTTTTGTAGATAATAATGGGCTTCTGTAAATTCAACAAACTTAGGGCCGAAAATAATAGGACCCAAAGTGTTTGCTTGACCCATAACTCATAATGTGACGGGCCTAGATCTATTTACCAATTATGGTAGATACTATGGGCTTTGAGACCATTCTAGCTTTTTTTGGGCCAGCGAGACCATTTCAGCACGATAAAGCATTATTGAATTAGTTCTATTTTTGAAGGCCAAAAAAAATTAGTTCTATTATTTTCTTCTTTGTTGTAAAAGAGTGAATTTGAGTTGATCTTTCTTTTTTAAATGTACTTTTGAATTCTATGAAATTTGTTTTCAGCTCTTGAAAAGTTACGAGTGAAATTACAAACATATAACTTTTGGGGCTGAACTATTGCTTGGTGACCCCTTTGATTAAGTCTTTCTCGTAAATAAGAATTTATTTATATATAAATTTTATATATTATATTTATTTAAAATTTTAATTATTTATTATTTTGTTCTTAATAATTGAATTTTTTTAAATAAAAAATAATTATTTTAAATAAATATAATAAAAAATAAATAAAATTTAAAAGTGAATAAAAAGTAAATAATT